TTTTTTTATAGATCACTCTGTTCCACTAAGTGGTTTCAATCTTTCTTTCTTTCAGGGCTGTCAATAGCTAATGGATTTTTAAAGAGTGAGATTTGGACAGTGTGTCCAGCCACAATAAAGGATTCATATTTGTGCATTTCCTTTCATTCACCTTGAAAAAAAAAATACTGAGGGATGTGGTTGTGTTCAGAGGTGGGATTCAAATTTCTTAACAACCAGTTATATGGGCGTGGCCTAATTTGTGGGTGTGGCTTGGTCATGTGACTGGCTGGGTGTGGCTTGCTGACTGGGCATGGGTTGGTGGTCATGTGACTGCCTGGGCATGGCTTGCATGTAAATATTATAAATATTGATGTAAATATTGATTTCTTTTTTAATTTTTTAAAAAGCAACTTTTACCCAAAATCAGGCAAAGCAGCAGGCAGGCAGATTGAGTTGCTTGTAGAATCACAGATTCACTCAGAGATCTATCTATCTGCAATTGGCTATCTGAGTCTGTCACATAAAATTTGCTAGCAAGCGCACTTACAAAATTAACTCACAACACACCATGGATGTAAATATTGATATTTTTTTTTAATATAAAAAAGGAGCAACTTTTTACTCAAAATGAGGCAAAGCAAGCAGGCAGATTGAGTTGCTCGCAGAATCACAGATTCATTCAGAAATCTATCTTTCTGCCATCAGCTACCTGAGTCTGCACTGAAAAAATAGAAGCTTCGGTCCTAAGGAAGGTTCGGCTCTGCTTTTAGATTAGCTAGAAAGCAAGAAATCCAATGATTTCCTGCTTTCTAGCTAATCTAAATCTCCCAGCGGAGCAGAACAGCTGATCGTTGGGGGAAAAAAAGGAAAAATAGCAACTTACCGAACGCAGGCAAGTTGGATGGCACACATGCCAGGTAAGGAGTGAGTGGGCAGAGAAGGGAGAGGTCAGGCCGGCCAATGGTGTGATTTGCTGGTTCTCCGAACTGTGCAGAATTGTAACAACCGGTCCGACCAGGTGGAAACGCACCCCTGGTTGTGTTACACATAATCTGGATTCTTAAGAGTCTGTAACTGGATTCAGAAAAGCACATTAATTAATTATAGGTAGTTGTCAACTTACGGCTGCAAAATTGAGACCAAACTTTCTGCCGCTAAGCGAGACAGTTGTTAAGTGAGTTTTGTGTCCCAATTTTACGACCTTTCTTGCCACAGTTGTTAAGTGAATCACCGCAGCTGTTAAATTAATAACATGGTTGTTAAGTGAATCTGGCTTCCCCATTGCTTGTCCAAACGTCGCAAAGGGGAATCACCTGACCCTGGGACACTGCAACAGTCATAAATACGAGTCAGTTGCCAAGCATCCGATCTTTGATCGATGCTGCAACAGTCATAAGTGTGAAAAATGATCCTAGGGCACTTGTAACTTCGAACGGTCACTAAATAAACTGTTGTAAATCGAGGACTATCTTTTTAAAAATTTATATATACATTTTTCTTTAACATAGTGATTAATAAACAGTGTATAGTCTGGGTTAATTTACTTATACATAAAAATAGTAACAATATTTGCTGGTATATACACAGTAATATCCTTCCAACTTTTAATTTCTACCTTTATTATCTAGCCATTGGTAAAACAAATCCCATGTTAAAAAGTATTCTGTATCTTCCTTGTCCTTCATCTTACATGTCAACCTATCCATTTCCGCACAATGTAACATTTTTTTAATTATATTTTGATCTATAGGAATTTCCTTCATTTTTGCCCCTTCCTTTTCATTTTCATTTTTCCAGTGTTGTGCAAATACAATTCTCATTGCTATTCAAAATGTGTAATCTACCTTCTATCTATCCTATCTATCTATCTATCTATCTATCTATCTATCTATCTATCTATCTA